GCAGTGACACAATCTCGGCTCACTGCAGCCTCTGCCTCCCAGGTTCAAGTGATTCTCCTGCCTCAGCCTCCTGAGTAGCTGGGATTACAGGCATGTGCCATGTCTAGCTAATTTTTGTGTTTTTCCTAGAAATGGGGTTTCGCCATGTTGACCAGGCTCATCTCGAACTCCTGACTTCAGGTGATCTGCCCGTCTCAGCCTCCCAAAGAGCTAGGATTACAGGTGTGAGCCACTGCGCCCAGCCATGAGATCCCATCTCTACAAAAAAAATTTTTAAATTAGCCAGGCATTGTGTTGTACACTGTAGTCTTAGCTACTTGGGAGGCTGATTTGGGAAGATCCCTTGAGCCCAGGAGTTCAAGGCTGCAATGAGCCTTGATTGAGCTACTGCACTCCTGCCTGGGTAACAGAGCAAGACCCTGTCTCCAAAAAAAAAAAAGAAAATTCTACCATCATCTCTCTTGTTCAAAAGCAATGGCAAGTTACTGTTTAATGAGCAGACTTTATTTGTGATGGTAAAATTCTGGATATGGATGGTAGCCATGGTTGTACAACATGGTGAATGTATTTAATGTCACTGAATCGAGCACTGAAAATGGTGAATTTTATATTATGCTTATTTTAGCACAGTAAAGTTTTAAAACTTATTTTAAAAAAAGAAAAAAAAAACAGAAGGCTGGTATTTGCAGGAGTGGAACTAGGACTTTCCACAAATTGCAAAATTCCTTCACCCCAATTTTTTTCTGTTTTAATGAAGCCTATTTACAATAGAGTCCATAAAGTACACTAATCTTAATCTTAGCTATAAAGCTCACTGCATGTTTCCATTTGTTTATACTTGTGTAATCACCACCCTGCCAGGATGTCGAACGTTCCAGCACCCCAGAACGTTTCTTTTCAGTTGTAACTCCCTGAGAGGTAACCACTATTCTGACTTATATTACCATCATTTGATTGTGTAGTTATTAAAGTTAATACAAGTGGAATTAGGCAGTATATACTCTTTTATACTCTTTTGTGTCTGCTTCTTTTACTTAGCCTAATACCTGGGATAGACATCCATTTATTAGTGTATCAGTAATTTGTTTTTTTCTTATTTGCTGTGTAGTTCCCATTGCATTTACCCTTTCTCTTGAAGGTCATTTGGATTGTCCCAGTTTGGAGCTGCTATAAAAATGGTGCTATGAACATTCTTTTGAGGGACCTGTGTACTCACTTCTCTTGGGTGTGGATCTAGGAATGGGATTGCTGAATCCTAGGGGACTGCTGTGCTCACTTAGGAGTCTCCTATGTTGACTTAGTGCCTTTCAGCAAATGTTTGCCCTACCCCTTTCATGACAGGGAATAAAGTGAAGCTCGAACAGAAGGTGTTGCTTTCGTCTGTCTTCCAGCATTAGCATTAGTAGCTACTGCCAGTTTCCAAAGCAATTGTGCCACTTTACACTTCCACCCACAGGGCACGAGCATTCTAGCTGCTCCACAGCCTCACCAACACTTAGTATTGGTGTTTTTTCACTTTTAAGCTATGGTGGGGTGAGGGTATTTATATCCTGAAATTTAAATGATGCAAAGGTGGAAACTTTAAAAAATTGTGCAAATATTTAAACTTCTTTTTTTTTTTTTTTAAGATGGGGTTTCACCATGATGGCCAGGCTGGTCTTGAACTCTTGACCTCAGGTGATCCACCCACGGCGGCCTCCCAAAGTGCTAGGATTACAGGCGTGAGCCACCACACCCGGCCACAAATATTTAAACTTCTAACTCTCAGTAAATGACCAGTGGAGTAGGATGGAGCAGGACTTCCCTGCCTCCCGGCTCCCAGCCTGTGTGATGGGCGGGGCCCGCCTACTGCATGCTTGCATTGATTTGAGGGCTTTTCCATACTGTGTGCTCCAGATGTTGGATATATTAGATCACTCTGGGCAGCTACCTTCTCTAGTCTTCTGGCGCCATTCCTCTCCAGAGCCTTCTTTCACAAAGACTCAACAGTGGTTGAGACAATTTAGTTGTGGTTTTTCTAATTAACCTCAAATGTAATCTATCTGGGCCTGAAGTGTGGATCACTAAGGAGTCTCCTTTCTTAGACTTCAGTGCCATTTAGTGAATGTTTGTCCAATGGCAGGGAAGAAAGCAAAGCCAGAACAGAAGGTATTGCTCTCTTCTGTCTTCCAGCCTCCAAGAAAGTTCCTTTCTCACCTTTGAACACATTTTCAGTGTGAGATCATCTACAGAACGCTTGGTGGTGAGGCCAGGGCAGATATTCAGATTGTTTCTGTCCCTCCACTTCCTCCTGGCCTATGTCATCAGCCTTTTGTTGTTGTTGTTGAATTTCTTGTGCGTTGACCTACCCTGCCTTTTGTGCATCTCATGGTTCTTTTTTCATTGGTTCCCATTCTTTTTTCCCACCACCAGGAAAGCAGATTTATTATTTATTTAAAATTTTTGTTTAGAGACAAGGTCTCACCCTGTTACCCAGGCTGGAGTGCAGCGGCACAATCATAGTTTACTGCAATCTTGAACTCCTGGGCTCAAGCAATCCTCTCGCCCTAGCCTCCTGGGTGCCACCATGCCCAGCTAATTTAAAAAAAAAAGTAGTAAGACAGGCTTTCACTGTGTTACCCAGGCTACTCTTGAATTTCTCAGCTCCAGGAATCCTCCCACCTCAGTCTCCCAAAATTCTGAGAGTACAGTCATGAGCTGCCATGCCCAGCCAGATTTTTTAAGGTTCATTACTCGACCTGATGGATATTCTTCACACAGTCTTACACTGTTCTTTGAAACAGTCATGGGAGATCATACTCGAACCTGTAATGACAGAAACAGGTTTGTGTAGCTTTGTATTTTTTCACTTCACCCTGTCATGCTACTTAAAGTGCTGTTACTGTATCTTGACTGCTGGGCACATAGCCCAGCTCCCATGCGCTGCTGGCATATAGGCTCCTTCCCGAAAACCACCTCCTCATCCTCTCTCTTTCTCTCCAACTGTCTCAGCTCAAGAGGGCCAGCAGTGAGGACACGCTCAACAAGCCAGGAAGCACCGCCACATCGGGGGTGGTTCGCCTGAAGAAGACCGCCACTGCTGGAGCCATCTCAGAGCTTGCCGAGAGCCGCCTGAGGAGCGGCACAGGTAGGAGGGACCGGGCAGGTGGGACCCGCAGGCCATATGGAAGCACTTCGGTGACCCATGACCCATCCATTCCTTCCCTCGTCAGGTATTTCTTGAGCACTTACCCTGTGCCGGAACTGTTTTAGGCAGACGATGTAGCTGCCCACAGGGAGTTCACACCTAGTGGGGAGACCGATGACAAACACAAGGTAACTGGGAGTGCTGTGGTTTCTCTGGTCCCTCCAGAGGTCCATTTGTCACCATGCATGTGTGAACTCCTTCTGACATCCAGGCAGGGCAGTGTATGTTCTGGGGCCGTCTTGATGAAAAATGCATTAGAGGAATGAATGAACCCTGTTGATCCCTTGCAGAGGTGGATGTGTGATATTTGTACTAAGAGCCTCACCCAGCATCTGTGGAAAGCTGCTCAGAGTGGCTTGGACAGCAGTGGCAGCTGGAAGCTGTGAATCTTTTCAGTGTTACTCATTTTTTGAGAATCAGGAAAGGGTTCTTCAATCATCATATTTGAGTTCAGAGCATGTGAAACATGAAATATCAAAGAATTTGTTTAATTTTCTCTTTGAGCATATAGATAATAAATCTAAGCTTTCCATGGTCTCACTCTTACAAGGCAGCCCTCAGTGTATTGCTAAATTGCCTAAGATGGGAAAAATAACTGAAATACATCATTATTCATTTTTAATGTGTTGATGAGTAGTACACTTACAATTTTTGTGCTATTTTCCTAAAAGTCACATTCAGGCCACATCTCAAAAGGCATATTTTAATTTATTTGGTTTTCAAAAATGTTGAATCTGTGAAGACTGTATGTGGCTTTCTTTTCTTGGATATAAGGGGAATTGCCTGCTGTTTCTATATAATGGCTTTACCATTGTAAAGACTGATATTGCACTAAACATACACACATACTTGGTTTTTAAAATACAGTAAACAAAAGTACCGCTTATTTTTATCAAACCAGCCTAACGCTGATTCCAAAAGTTAATAAAGCCCCACTAAAAAAAGACAGACTGGGAGGAGCCTAGGGGCGGAGTGGGGAGGAGGACCAGCCGAGCCTCGGGTGTGGGACAGAGTGTGTGTGTATGGTGCGTCCCCAAGAGCAAGAAGGTGGCGAAGGGAGGTGAGTCTGAGTGGGAGGAGGAAGGGGGAGGGCGGAAGGAGAATAAGGTGGGAGGAGGACCGGGTGGGAGGGTAGCGGCTCACTCAGGACCCAGCGGGGGGTGGGCAGGGTGATGAGGCGGGTGACCCTGTTCCTGAACGGCAGCCCCAAGAACGGACAGGTGGTTGCTGTTTATGGAACTTTATCGGATTTGCTTCCTGTGGCCAGCAGTAAACTCGGCATAAAAGCCACCAGTAGCCGGGCGCGGTGGCTCAAGCCTGTAATCCCAGCACTTTGGGAGGCCGAGGTGGGTGGATCACGAGGTCAAGAGATCGAGACCATCCTGGTCAACA